ACAAAACCGCCCCCCTTAAGCCTGCTCAATGCCGAGGCCGGTAAGTGGATGACTGCTTTTGCTGTGCAAAAAGAAAACTTTTCTGTTGTTTCAAGAAAAAGGTTTTCTGCTAGCTCCTGCCTCGGGTGCATCTTTCTTGGCTTCCTAAGTTTTGCTAGATCCATCCATCTCCCCCTAGCTGATTTCCTGCCTTCTTGCCCAGTGGGTTTACCCAGTTAGCATATGTAACTCTTGGAGAATACTAGATATTATTTTGAGAAGATGAAAGAATGAGCAAGCATGGGCTGGAGCCACTCTGTGACTTGGGCTGACTCTGTGTGAAGGGCTTAAATTCAGACAGCATTCGGCATTGTTTTCAATAAGTCTACGATTAATTGGCTTTCTTCTCATAACTTTTAGAATCATTCCAGTGACAGCTTGGCTGTAGGAAGTGGACGTGTGTATGTCTTCTTATGGACTGGGGCTCAAAGAAAACTATTGTGTGACTCCCTCAAGCAAATATATTTGCAATTGAAGAATATTTCTCAGAAATGCCTCTGTTTTGTAGAATGGTGTATAGCTCCGCGGGGTGGGGGTGGGAGGGGGATAAAGGGACTTAGTCTTGCTTTTCTGGTTGCTCACTGTGACTGACAGTGTATCTCAGATCTGGGCAAAGCGTGGTCAGGATGGTCTCATGTGTCCTTCCCTAAGGATCTATTTTTGTTCCCTGCAAGTACGGATTAACATTTATTCCGGCACATTCATTGCTACCGTGCCACTAAATTTTTGGAAACCCACTAATTCTGTCCACCGCAGATGTAAGAAGTGTCTGTTATAAGGTCCGGTGAAGTATGTGTTTCAGGCAGCCTTGGCAGGCTTAGGATGCGCGGTAAGGGGATGCTTTAAGCGTGCGCCAGCACATGGATCCTTTCATTTACAGATGTGATTAATTTTGCTCCCCGTTTCTGATCATCTTGCATGTAGCCGTGTTATAAAAAGTCCTCCACGCTGGCTCCATGGCTTTTCCCATTAGAGCATCACAGATGTGTCAAAGGGTGCACTTGTTCCAAGAGAAGCTGGGGAGAAGGGACGCTCCACCCTCGGGTCCATGCCAGGCGGCCCCCATAGACTCTGCGCAGTGCCTAGCAGGCAAAGAGTGCGCTATCTCTTTAAAGCAGCTATAGTTTTGTGCCTTGGCTTGGCCAATTTGTTATGGTTTAAAACTGTGGAGCCAGCTGTCTGCAATCTGATGTAATGTTGCCATGGAAACAAGAAACGAAACACTTAAGCATTCACCGCAGAATTACTACATATAGCATTAGCCAAAGTAATTAAAAGTTGAGCCGTATGGGTTTTCTGGTGGAAAAAAATCTTCAGCAGAGGGCTTGGAAATGAAATGTTTCTGTTTACAGTCTCACGAAGAAGGCAGTTTGCACGTCTTTTGGTGGGAGCACGCGCTCTTTTTCCTTGGGGTGGTTTGGGATGGGGCGGCTAAAGTTGATGGACCGTGACCTCTTCTCTATAAGGTGATGGGGCCGAAGTTTTCTTTAGAGAACTTGAATAGGCTAACAAAGAAGTGTGGGGACCCAGAGATGGAAGAATGTTTTGAGTATGTGTGAACATATGCTTTTAGGCTTTTGTTTTGGTTTATGTGGATCTGTGTTGGTTATGAGCCTGTTTCTTTGAATCATTTGTATACAAAGTAGAAATCCTTTATTGTACAAACCCCTTTGAGGAGGAAGTTCCCCCCAATACATTTTCTGCTTATCAACACTCTGTCTAAAACATACTTGCATTTTCAAAACGCATGCACATATTTTAATGATTTAATGATTCTTAATTTAAAAGATTCTCAAACTCCCTTTTAGGATAGTCAGTTTTATAAATAAAAGGCACACTATATATACATACATAACATACACATATATATGTTAAAGACATGCTATGTGGCTTGCATTTAGAAAGTAGCACATGGTTATTTGAAAGAGAAATATACAGTGAAGAATGTATTACTCAGTTTAGAAGAAATGCAGTCACTTGTGTCTTTATATTAAAACAGCTGGATATATATATATATATATATATATATACATACATACATATATATGTATGTATATATATATTAAACTAATATGTCACAAGTCTCTTCCCTGGGACTCTAGCTGAATTCAGAAGTTGACCCTCCGCATCAATAAAACTGTCTGGAAGACTACCCAGGCTGACTATGCAGGCAGGAATCTTTTAATTAAAGATACCATGCACAAGTCCACCTTTCTTCAATGACTTGCTGTGTCAACCTGCCTGAGGTCCAAAGCATGACATGATAGAGGAAGTGCATGGTTGCCGTGACTTGAGATCTGTCAGTGGCCAATGCCTCCAGAACCTCCATCAGCTTAAAGTTCTCAAGAGCTCATGTTCCTCAGAAAGGAAGCAGAGCCTGTGAAAGAGATTAAGGAAGCACCTGGCTTTTTTTTTTTTTTTTTTTTTTTTTTTTTTCCCTGCATTCACCACAGCGAATGCAGGCCCAGGAAAGGAAGGCTCTGGGAGAGAATGTTTGCTTTCAGGCTCACACCCTGGTGTGACTCTTTTTATTTCTTCCTGGAAAGTTCATACAAATGCATCTTTCCTATGCTCACCTTGTGTCTCTGCAGGAGTGTTTTGTGTTACTGGTTTCTATATTCCGTTCCCTTCTGTGCATTCAAATGCTCCTCCCTCCCCAATACACAAACCACCAGCAGTCACTATCAAACATACTAACCATGGAGTGTGTTTACATCGAGATGGTTTTTTAACCTCCCCATCTAGCTTCTTATCTCTTAAGTACAAGCAGTGCTAGTTTCAACCTTGACTTGACTCAGGAATTTATAATGTCAAGGATAGATACCTAGCCTGGTTTTGTTTGTTGTTTGACTATACAGAGGCCTTCTGTGATACAAAGTTGATTATTCTGCTTGAATCGCTAGCATTTGAACTGCAACGAGAGGACGCAATGCTTTGAAACATTTGCATGAATTCAGTGCACTAGAGGTTCCTGAGGTGCTCATGATCCAGAATGAGGGTAACCAAGTTCTCATGCCTCTGGTTGGCCATTCTGACCATTTCATTTCATTAGACGTCAACAGTTCAACAAAGTAGGAATGAAATTTAAACCAGATGTGTATCATTTTGTATTTGGAGCTAAACTTACTATTTCAACTTTTTTTTTTTTTTAACCTTGCCCCTTTGAACTAAGTGCATTAACCCTAATTGTTCAACTTAAGCACCCCGTTTCCTTCTAGTATACCAAGTAGCTTGTGAGCAGCTTTTTTAAAATTTGTTTCTTTTTAGTTTATGCTCATTTGTGTTTTGCTGCATATATGTGGATGCCAGTTCCCCTGGAACTGGAGTTACAGACAGTCATGAGCTTCATGTGGTTGCTGGGAATTGAACCCAGGTCCTCCAGGAGAGCAGCCTGTGGTGCTCTTAACCACCGAGCCATCTCTCTGCCTCACAGAAGGCAACTCTAGTTGTGAGTTTGCAGGCAGCATTTTCCTAGGAATTTTCAAGAAGTCAGACATAGATGTGGACGCACTTCACAGGTGGGAAGACTGAGGAATATTCCAGTCTGCTGATTTTGCTGGTCTGTGCTAATTGATCATCAGTGAGTGAATTGTTCGTAGATAGTGAGCAGGAATGAAGTACAGTAGCTCCAAGGCCAGGAGGTGAATCAAGGCAAAAACTGAAGCAAGCTTATCCAGGAGAGAGTATTACCAGCCGTGCTGAGAGAAGTATCTGTGTACTCCAAGCCTGCACCATTTCTAAGTAATCCATATGGCCTCCATCCCTCTTCTTTTGTGCCGTTCTCTGCCAACACTTTTGACCCATTTTATGCCCTATAAAACTGAGATTAGGGAGAGCTTTTCTTGGGGAAAATCCCCTCACTAGTCTCGAATTGGAGAATTGGCTTTTGTTTGTTTTGTTTGGGGCAGCGGAGTTGAGTCATCACTCTCCCTAAGAATTGCATTGAGGGCATGAAGGGATGCTGTTGTCAAGATGAGCAGGATGAGCTGGACCCACTCACTGGCTGCAGAGTATCCCAAATGGCCTGAGCTCCCAGCCGGGTGGTGCAGCACGCCACACACCCCTCCAGTGGGACAGTAGGGGAAGCTGCATACAGAATGTTGGAATGGACTTGGAAATGAAGCCCTCATTCTGTTCACAAGGAAAGGGTTGTTTTTTAGCCTGGGTCACTGCTATGGAGAGAGAATTCCCCCCCCCCCCCCATAATGTTTGATACTTGAGGGAAAACAGCTGGGCCAGTGCTGGACACTTGAATTGCTGCAAAATGGAATAGGATGCTGGGGAATATGGACTGTACTGTATGTCTGTAAAGGTCAGCTTTTTCCCTTGTCTCTTTGGAGGAATGTGGGGCTGTCCTCAGCCTTGCCTCTGAGCCCTCAGAAGGAGCTGGGGGAGGCGGAAGGGACGGCTGTGTGATGTGGCAGGCGTTTCTAACAAATAGGAAAGAAGGGATTTTTCCCCCTTTCTTTCTCTCTCCCTTTTTATGACTTCCCCTGTTCTGTCTGCTGGTTTTGATTTTTTTTTGGGGGGGGGGTTGGGGGTAGGTGCTGGAAAAAAGTCAACAAGATTTTGGTTTGGAGAAGTGGTTGATGACCACGTTCAACAGCAAATCCCGATGGGCCAGACAGAGAAGAGCCTGGCCCAAACCACAGCAGCTTAACTGGAATCACAGGGCCAGCTTGAGGAGAAAGTCCTGCTGGACTTGGCTTGAAAGACACACGGAGTGGTATCGTGGGTCAACACCCCATGGTAGTCAATGCCAAGAATGTGTACTCTCCCTAGGATTGATTCTCTGCTGAATTAGGCCATCTCGGGGTATGTGAGGTCCCATAAACCTGTTGGGTAGATTTGCTGATGGCCCAAGTTTGGCGGCAGAGCTGCGGATATTTGGCCCTGGCCGGCTATGCCAGCCAGCCAGGAGGGCAATTAACTGATTAAACGTTCCTGCTTTTCTTTGCCAGTCAAGAGAACAGTCAGATGAAGAGACGGAGGAGTCGGTGAAGTTTAAGAGGTTACACAAGCTGGTGAACTCTACTCGAAGAGTCAGAAAGAAGCTCATTAGGGTGGAGGAAATGAAAAAGCCCAGCCCTGAAGGTAAATACAAAACAAAACAAACAAAAACGGGGTGGGGGGGCAGGAAACCCCACCCTGGCTCTTTCCAAGGAAGCTACTTGGGGTCAGATTTTCAGGAGAAACAGAATATGATTTCAAGTAAGAAACGAACTGCATTCTGCCCGAGGCTGACAACTGTCTGTGCCAGCCAGGCGATGCTCAGTGTTATGGAATGAAGAATCCTGGTGTCAAGTATTTTGGGCACTTAGTAATTCCATGTGGCAGGGATGGGAAATGGCTAGGGTCTGAGGATAGAATCTGAAGGTGTGGTACAGCTTTAATTATGAGCTTAAGTTGCCGTATATAACCTTATATGTTCTCAGCACAAGCCTCTCTTCCATAGGGGGCTGGAATTGGAAATGCAATGGGTTCTCGTGCAAATCTGATACAGGATGCATCCATCTTGCAAAGCCACCTGACAATCAAGGCTCTTAATATCCCTTCAAAGCCCAAGGGTTGCTTTGTTCTTCCAGGAAACAATCTCAAGTCTCTATTCAAAAGGGGCTTTGAGGACCTTCAATTCGAAGGGGATCTTTAAGAGCTGGCTGGGAAGATGAAACAGTAATGTCAACAGAGACATCAACTAGGGATCATCAGAATGAATAGTTACCTTTGAATTAAAATTATGATTGTTTAAATTATGACCTTATTCATTTTCACTTTTAGTAGTGTGCATATACAATATAGAAATCTACCTCAAAAAAAAAAAAAAAAAAAAAAAAAAGATCAGAGAAAAGCTCAATATTTCCGAATGTGGTTACATACAAGCAAAAGGGCTATAATCTCTATAATCCCGAGCCAGGGAGGGGAGTGCTGTGGGGATACAGTAACACTCTGTCTCACACCATCCAGCTTGCCCATCGGTGAGATGAAATGAATTACACTCTTAGTACTGTGCCCAGTTTATCCAGTGGGACTTGTCCTGGGGCAGCCTTTAGGCCACAATAGTATCTTCTACATCTTAAAATATCCAAATTTGCAGAGGATGCCAATTCGGCTATGTTTGGGGGTGGAGGGATCAGCAAAATAGCAAACGAGGCAATTGAGGATCAAAAGTGGTCACCGTATGCACTAATACACACTAAGACACCTGAGTGTGGCAGGCTGAATGAAGTCATTGCAAGCCTTGCCCTGGTGGGTGATGAGCTGGGAGTGTGTGTGTGTGTGTGTATGTGTGTGTGTGTGTGTGTGTGTGTGTGTGTAGCTCAGAGGGTCTGCCTCCAGCTCCCATGTGACCAGGCCCTCTGAGGTTCCTATTGGCAGGGGAACCGGGAGGTGGGATGGCCTACTTGAGTCACCAGATGCTTCTCTTCCCCAGTGCCCTTGGACTTTCAGCGATAATGATCAAGTCACCGATTGCCCGCACACCTGTGCCAGTACAACGGGAAATAACAATCCCATACTGGGATGCACTCTGCGTACGGGACACTTTCCCACACGTTGAGAATTGATGTTGCCTTTTAATATGCCATCTCTGGAATACACACCAGAGGCAGGCACTTACTCATTTCTCCAGTAACGGGACTGAGATAAAGAAGCCAGGGAACCACTAAGCCAACAGAGAACCATCAGCTTCTGCGTGGTGCCGTTAGCAACTGGGGAAGCTTCAAGTGTCTGTGACACTTAATGCGTATAGTAACCATATTGGCTTTTGGTAAAGATAAGTAGGTGTTGTGGCAGAGAGAAACACAGGCCCAGGGTCCCAGAGCTATGGCTGAAGATCAGGACTTGTACAAAGCTATATCCTTGCATTAAATGATTCCACATTCTCCTGTTGGAAGCACCCTTCCTGGGTGTCCCCATGTCAGTTATATTAAGCCAGAGGCCACTGTGAAGCAGGCTTCATGGTGTGCAGGGGGAGAGCTCACCTGGCTCATCCCTCCTGCAATAGTGAAGCTGTTCCTGTTGATCAGAAGAGGGTAGGAGAAGAATGGTGTATTCAGGGAGCCTGGGCCAGGCCAGGGCTCCTGGGCTGCCTCTCAGACACGGACAGTAAAACCCACTCTGTACAGGCCGGCTCACAAAGGCTGACACAGCCTCTTTGGAGTCACTTCCATATTCCACTCAAAGCTCCTTACCAGGAGCTGCCTTTCCAGCCTAAGTCTGCACATGTCACAGGCATGCGTGTCCCAGATAGTGCCAGGCCCCATTGTGACCGTGGTGTTTAGAAGGCTGATGACTGCCCTAAGAGCTCTCCAGAAGATGTGTTTGGACCACTGATAATGGGTGGCAGCAGGGTCCTTAGAATACTGGACTGGGAAAAGCCCACCAAGCGCCCATGGAGCCCTTCAGGACGGCGTTGCTTAGACTTTTCATGGATCTCTACCACCTGGAGGGCTTAATGCGACTTGCTTGTTTACTGACTGCCTCTGCCACCAAGCTGGCCCCCAGCCTTCAGACAGTTGCTTCTTCCTGGAAGCAAGGCACAATCTTTGGAAGTAACTTTATTTACTTGGGGAAAAATGAGTAGAGATCAGGAAGCAGCCCTCGTATCTGTGTACTCTTTGTGGTCTGGCTAAATCCGGTCTGAGCCCAGACCTTGCCTTAAACTCTCCCAAAAGATCCTCAAACAGTTCTTTCGGGACCCTGGGATTCAGCATCATTTTGATTTCTCCTTCTTTTCCTTCTGTCTCTGCCACTCATTTCTGCACGTGCATTGGAGCTTGGAATTCTTCTGCAACAAATACCCATCCGATTAGAAAGAGTAGCCATGTTTAGAGTCTTCTAGAAAGGGGTGCCATTTTTACCGCCTTCCCTCTGTCTTTCTCCCTGACACTTGACCACTCGTTGGCACTTTGTCACAGCTGGAATGTGTAGCGCTCCCCTTCTGTCCCACGGAACTTTGTACTTTATCCCTCTCCGCTGTTCATCTGGTGGAAAGCTGCAAGGCTCCAGTGTTTCCTTATGATTAAGGGGTGCAGCCAGTTGGGATCACTACACCCACAGCTTGACCTACTTCCTCCCTCACATCTGTTCACATAACACATGCAGAAAAGAACTCGGCTCTCCTGCCAGCACATCCAGGCCTTTCCGCCGGGCTCCTTCAGAGGGCTTGGCTCGCTAGCTGGCCCCAGAGAGAGCTTCAAGGCCTGGAAGCCTGAGCCCAAGTGGAACACTCAGTGAGCTGCTTGCGTGTCAAGGCCCTTAAATGCCCTTGCTGTTTCCTCAGGGGCTGGGTGGAAGGGACTATCTGGCTGGGATCACTCAGTTCTTCTGGCTTTTTCTATTTGGCCAGTAGACTGGAGAGCATTTGTCAATCACATTTGCAAGTATAACCCTTTATGGCGTTTTCCCCATCCAAATTCTCTTGGAGATTTAATCACTTAAATAGCATATGTACCAATAAAAAAAAAAAAAAAAAAAAAAAAAAAAAAAAAAAAAGAAAGAAAGAAAGAAAGAAAGAAAAATCGTTGTCTGCCACATGGCATTCATCATACTCCAAGTATAAAAGCCACTAGAGCCATCATAAAGGAGGGCCTTTCAGGAGGGGGGAGACTGAGCCTAGCTTCTGGGCGTGGCAATTATCTTGAAATGCTAACATATATCACTTTAATGACGAGCCTCGATTTTGCAAATGGCATTTTTAATAGGTCAAGGAAGATGCTGGTCTGCACGCTTGTTTTGAAGGACAATAAAAGCGATCACACCTGTCCCCTACCTAGTTTTGTAGCAGTGGGTTTGAATGTAAAGGTTCACACATGCTAAATAAAGCTGGGCAAGCTTTATCCCCATCCTCCTCTTATTTTGGAGTCAGGGTCTCATATGGCCTTGAACTCTGTATTTAGCAAGGGATGGCATTGCAGTCCTGATCCTCCTGCCTCCAGGAGGACTTACAGTCAGGAACAGTAACACTTCCCTTCAAGCTTTTATTTTGAGGCTCATGAAGTTGTTGAGGTTGATCTTGAACTTGCCATCCTCTGTCTCTGCAGTAACTAGGTTTACTGGCCTATGTGGCCAGATCCAGCACCTCACAAAGGTGTAACGGAAGCTCCTTTGAAACCATACCACGCAGGTGGATTGCCTTCTTTGTTCTATGTGTGTTAACATGAGTCATTTTTGTGAAGAAAACCATAGTGCAGACAGGGGGAGCATTACCATTAGCCGTGTGAGCTAACGTGTGTTTTTACAGGGATGAACAAAGGTCTACAGGCCACTCATTCACAGGAGGCATTGTGTGCTCATTCCCTTCCAGGTGGAGAGGAGCATGGGTTTGAGAATTCCCCGGCCCTGGATGAAAGATCCGCACTCTACTCTGGAGTGCACAAAAAGCCATTTTTCTGTGATGGCACCCCGGAGAAACCTCCTGAAGATGACTCGGATTCCCTCACCGCATCTCCATCGTCTAGCAGCCTGGATACTTGGGGAGCTGGCCGGAAGTTGGTCAAAACCTTCAGCAAAGGAGAGAGTCGGGGCCTGATTAAGCCCCCTAAGAAGATGGGGACGTTCTTCTCCTATCCAGAAGAAGAAAAGGCCCAGAAAGTGTCCCGCTCCCTCACGGAGGGGGAGATGAAGAAAGGCCTTGGGTCCTTGAGTCATGGGGTAAGTACCGATGGCGTTTTCTTCTATGACAACCATCGGCGTAGGCATCACTTTCTGGTGTCCCTGGAAGAGGTTCAGAGTGTCCGTAAGCAAATCCGCTTGAAGAAAACGGATACTAACTACTCCTGTTCCAGAACTTTTCTCTGCCAACGACCCTCCAGAAAAGGAGTAAATGGCACCACCTGCGACCTGCTGCCCCGACAGAAGCCCAAGGGGGGCGGCGGCTGCGGCTTCCCTGGCAGGAGGGGCCGAGGGCGCACCTCGGTCAGCGAGTTCAATATCACCTACGTGGTGGAGCGGAGTCTCTACAGCCACCTGAACCTGAGCCAGCTCGTGCGTCCTGCCTCAGACAGGACGCTGAGCAAGACTGAGAAGCAGGACCTGAGGCGGTGCTTGCTGGAGGAGGATGAGGAGGCAAAGAGGAAGTGGGCTGCCACGGTGGACCGCTGTACAAAAAGGGTTCTCTTGAGAATCCACCAGAAGTCCGTGAGTCGCCAGGATGGCCGTGAGGAAGGCCTTGTCATTTCTGTGGTGTGCAGTCAAGCATTATGGCCTCTCTTCTTGCAAAGCTGTCATCCTGTCTTCGACTCTTCTCTTCCGAGGTCCTTCCTACTGTCACCTCCGATCTCTAGCCCTTCTCTCTTTAGTGGTAGAGCCTCTGTCCTTATCTCCATCTGTCCTCTGCCCAGCGGAAGCTGCTGGGCCTTTTAAACCGAAACTAAACCTTGAAGCTAATCTTCCAGGGCTCGGGAGTGGCTGTCTCCATGCATGGCCGTCTTGTCACTTGACCTGAAAGAAGCTGATTGGAATAGAGGGACACCAAACCCTGAAAGAGATGCTTACTTTTTTTCAGTTAATGAAAACAATAGGAAAGAACTGATGGGAAGTCCACCATCGCCATTGTCAAGTACATTTCTTTGATTAGTAGAGCCAGCCAGAATGTTCTTAGATCTGAGGGAGAGATAGATAGATAGATAGATAGAATCAATTAACCACCCTTTGTTTTAAATAAAACTAATTCAATTTTTTTTTACCTTTTTTTTTTTTTTTTAAACAAAGGGATTAGCATGTAGTAATGCCCTTAGCTGCCACATGAATTATTATGCACAGGAAAGTAAAGTGCATACTTGGAAGATAATTTATATAATAATAAATGTTTTGTGTTTCGGCTTTCAGACGGAAGGATCAGCAAAGGCTAGTTTTCAAATTTCTCCTTTCAGAGAGTAACTAGGCTCTAACTTGAGAGTATAGATATTCTCCCCCTGGGATCCCCACCTAACTTGGAGTGTGCACAATGGCCCATGTCAAAGGGGAACAGAGTGGGGCAGAGCTGGCACCGCCATACTCTGGCACCTTGCTTAATCCTCCCGGGGCTGCTGGCCCAGAGCGCCTTTGAGAGGTCTGAAAGGACCTTTAGAGAAGAATAGGCTTCCACGACCGCTTTTCCCAGGGTTCCTTCACGTTCATGAATAGGATGTTCTTGTCCAGAGCTGTATAACTGTAATTTAAATTCATGCAATCGAGTTCTGCTTTTGTGAAAACGAAGACGGGCTGGCCACTTCCATCCTTCAAATGTCCTGCTCTGCTTCTCAGAGAATCTTTGGGTCTTTCCTCGCTTTGGAGTTTTGAAAATATTCCCATGTGTGTTGACTTCCGTCCTAGATTTTATTTTCTGCCTTTTCCATTCTCGTGAGCTTTACAGCACTTTTTATGCTATCAGTGTGTTGGGAAAGCTCTCCTTCTGTCTCTTTCTGTGTCATGGTAACAATGCTTTGGTTTTTCTTTGTTTTGCTTTAATATCAGACTGCTTTTATTATTATTATTACTCATTCAGTCGGTCTCTGGTGTACTCTGACCTCCCTATCTTTTGTAAAACATTGGTCTTGGTGTCAGAGTTGAGCCCAGTTCATCTGCTAGCTTGCCTCCAAACATCACCTCTACTCACTAACGATGGCATTATGCACTGAATACTTTTAATATGCTAAGAGCTTAAGGCAGACAGTATTGGGCATTTTTAATCCCTGCTAAGTAATGTATTCAGGGGTAAATTAGAAATCTGTGCATAGCTGCTCTTGTAAGTACAATTGTATAATTAGAAAAATTCATTTTCTCATTCAGAAAACAGGATAAAGTCAATGTTTTAGCGGTAGGAAGAGATGGGTAGGATTTTTTTTTTTGTTTGGTTGGTTTTGTTATTTTGGTACTGGGGCATTAACCTGCCACTTCATGCATGCTAAGTAAGTGCTCTATCGCTGCTCTCACACTCTCTGATTTCTTTGTATCCTTCAATTAAAATGCTCCTTTCCATTTTCTCTGTTGTATACACTTCCTTCACTTTACCCCCAAAGTGCACAGTTTGTTTTAATCTTCAGCCTTGATCTTTTTGTCCTTCAGGGATGCCATACTTGCTTGACGAAACCTCAGGGAAATGATAACGCTTTGAATTCACTGGAAACCGTCATGTGTCTTGCTTTTAATTTTTATTCATTCAATTTTTGTTTTTCTTTGGGAAAACAGACATGCATGACATTTTGGAACCTTGTCCCTTTTCAAATTCAGTCCCCCTTCAAACACGTTCTCAACTGCATGCCCATCCCATTGACTCACTCTCCTCATCCCAAGCATCATTCAAAAATGTTTTTATAATTATTTGCACAAGAGATGAATGAGCTAAAAATATTTTGCTTATGCTTCATTTATGTAGATCACCAGAGTTCAAAGATTGTTTTCTCTTTCTTTCATTGCTTTTGTAATGCATTTTTCCTCCCAAAGGAGTTTTTGAGAACTGGTGATCTCACAAGAAGTGATTGCTTCCTTCAGGAAGTGCTTAGTGTTTGGTAGCCCTCCACCGATGAAGAAGAATCTGCTTCTGCTATCTTAACACATCACTTGGAGAGATTTTAGCTAATGAGTCTGAAAACCAACCCATTCTTTTAAGCTCTTTATTTTAGGCATAAATGCATACAGCAGGCACATGAAAACTTAAATAAGCTTCTAATTTATTACAGTCATCGTTCCCACATAAATTCCTTGGGAGTTATTTCATATGCACCAGAGAAAGCATGCTGGGCTCCAGTGTTGCAGGCCATGTTGTCATTTAAAGCAGAGACCGTACATGCAAAAGCCATAAAGCGATCAGGCATCTGGGCGCCATCCCCTGTCTGTGAAGCCCTGAGTCACAGGGAAGGAACTAGAATAAAGTCCCTGCCTTTGCAGAACTGAGAAAATACATTTGGCACCTTAAGCCACTGGGGAAAGCTAATGCTACAAATTTTTACCTTGAGGGGTGGGTGGGTTGGCTGTAACATTGTTTCCCAATTAGGTGAGCTGGAGATAACATCATTCCCCAATTAGGTGAGCTGGAGGCTAGATAGATACAGAGGTAGTTGACTGTAAAGAAAGGTTAGATGCTGATAGTATACAATTGAGCTAACCTCCATCAGAAGGTGAACAAGTCCTAATTATTGAAACAGTGTTGCTGAGAGGTGGGCGTCTCTAAATTCTCTCCATTTCTGCTCCTCTGTATGCTACCACCGCCATCTCCCTGTGTGGCCTGTTCCTGGAGGCTTTGGTTTTACATTTAAACTCCCAGATTGTAAAACCCAGAATGGAGTCCAGTCCCCCGCCCTCATTTGAATGTTTTTAATCCCGACTAAGTGTAACCTGCAACATAGTAACGAAGATGAGCTTTCAGCCTCTTGGCAGAACCAAAGTGAAACATCAGAGGATAAACAGATGTTCAGAGTGTCTGCTCCATGAGGACTGTGTGCTAGATACTATCAGTTCAGAACCCTAAGCTCAGGAGAGTTTTTTTTTTAAGCACTTGCGATTTGGTCTTATAGCAAGCAAGTAGCAGAATCAAACTTCAGATCTATGTGCGATGGTAAAAGCCTATTCATTTCTGTCCAGAACTATGCCTCCCATCTCGATGCAGTGCAGTATATTAATATATCCAAAATATATCTGATTAAAAGAAGCAGTGTTCATAGTTTGTACTCTGATTTTCTGTTCATCCCTTCCGTTTTGTGGTATCCTTAGGACTTCTGAGCAGCAGGTGACACAAAGCTGCTATTCAAGTGTTCTTGCCAACTGCTTTTTAAAACGTGACCTACAAACAAAAATTAATGTGCCTTGGCAAGAGGAGATAGGCATGGGCGTGTGATGATTTTTGTTGTTGTTGTTGTTTTGTTTTTGCTAGAAAAACAAGAACTGAACACAAGTCCTAAAACAGAAAAGCACAGAAATATAGTTTTACAAAATTGAAACCAGATAAAAGTACAATAAACTTTTCATCCATTTTTTTTTTTTTTTCGGGCAACAGTGTTTTTCCTACTGAAAGTGGTGTGTGATCAGTGACAGACACTCAGTCCATCCTCCCACCCCCAATAAACGTGGTGCCATCCACTGTGAGAAAAGGGTTATAATTAATTAAGTAGAGCAGTTAGATGGGGAAATTGTCGTCATTTTTGTCCAGGATGGAGGAGGGGGACAGTAAGTGACTAACCCTGTTGGCCTGATTGGATGACTATAAACATACCTTCTTTCCCCCTCCTTGATGGTTTAAAACTAAATGACAAAAGTCATTTTGAAAGGCAGAGCACAGGACTCCCAAGACCACAGTGCGGTGAGGGAGGGAATCCTCCTGCACCGAGTTTATGAAGGTTTTATTCATTTAGTCGATTTTGCACGTTAAGGGAAGTTTAGACTCCAGGTGAGCTGTGAGAACACCCCATCAGGAAGGTCTCCTATGACAGGAATCATGTTTTTCCCTCATCACGTCTTGTCCTACTTGCATCCTGTACATGTATTTGTGGCTCCGAGGTGCTTTGCACACCGGTCGTGTGTGTTGGGTTGTCTGCGGGCTGTGGTGTGAGCATAACTAAATTATTTCCACCCAACCCTCTCTTGTCCACAGAGAACTTGCAGTTTCGGTGGATTCGACCTGACAAACCGTTCCCTGCATGTTGGCAGTAATAGTTCGGACCCTATGGTGAGTGGACCACAGAGAAAGGCAGTCGGTGTGGACTGCAATGACCCGGGTGCCAAAGGCTCTCTCTTTAGTCTCTCGGATAGGACTCCAGCTTTGCTCAGTGCCTCCAAACCATATTTGCAAAGAAACTCTGTTGCCCCCATCTTGTTATACATGGGATGGATGATGGTACCTATGCCTCTGTATCCTCAGAGCATCACTGTTCCTTAGTGCCTTTTCTCCAGTGTTCTTTAAGTGACACACACAGATGAGTTTGGCTCCTTTGGCCTTAGTCATCTGTGCCTGTGAGCTTTCCCTTCATACTGGTTAGTCTAAGTTGCACACAAGGGAATGATGGACCCCTGTAATGTGAGTATCCATGGAGCTGTCTTATAGGACCACTGCTTGGACCCAGGAGGCCCATCCCAAATTTAGGTCTTTCTCATGCCAGGCTCTGAAATAAGCCCAGCTTTCTCGGTGTCAAAGAGAATCCGGGCCCTGATTTGACAGGTTAACATCTGCTCAGATGTGCTTGTGGGTCGTGGTCACGGGCCAGGACACGCTTTTAAAGTTGCCCAAAATTCCGGCCCCAAAGGAGTGGGTACGCTTTACATGGTTTTGCTTGCCCTTTAAATATTTTGCCATGAAACTATAAAATGAAGATTTCATGCATTATAGTTATTATGATCTTACGTCAGCTAAAATACACATCTGCGAGAGATATGAAGTGTTACAGGATTTCCTGCAAGATTTAAGCTGTTTTATTTAGGTATCAAATTTTATTGATTCATAAGCCAATAATTTTATGTTGTCAATCTCTATAAACTCAAAACTCTTCCCCCCCTCATCCTTTCTTGGGCAAGGTTTGTCTTTTAATGCAATGAGAGCTGGCCACAGTCTAGCTTGTTCAGGGAAGGAAATTAGGCCACACCACTTATTATATGAAGCCCGATGCATCCCCAGACCCACCATCTGCCCTTGGGTGATTCGATACTAGGACCTCTCTCTCCTCCCCCCACTGCTGGGGTTACCCGAACACAGCTTCCTCTAAATCTGTCAGGAATAATGAAATGCAGTCCCCTCAAGTGTGTTTAAGTGGTGGGGGGAAAAATCATAACTGGAAAAGCATGTCCTAAGATTAAATAAAATAAAAAGTGCCTGAAGCCCCAGTATAAACAGACAAACAAAATACCTCTTGGTAGGTTTTAATTTCTAGTCACAAAGATAAACAACAGCCTTGAGTTAACAGAAGAAAAATGCGAAGACCCCGGGGAATGCTAATATTTTCTACAAGGTCTAGGACGTTAATGGTTTGAGTAATGGAACCAGTTTATAGGCTTTATCTCCTAGGACTAATGGTATTTGCATTACTCTCTTTTGCAGGGTAAAGAGGGAGATTTTGTGTACAAAGAGGTAATCAAATCGCCCACCGCCTCCCGCATCTCTCTTGGGAAAAAGGTGAAGTCCGTGAAAGAGACAATGAGGAAGAGAATGTCTAAAAAGTATAGCAGCCCTGTCTCTGAGCAGGTATGTGGCCATCTTGCTGTGAGCCAGGTTCTAGCTGAGGACGGTCCACTTGGGCTTTTGAATGCTGCTATGAGTGTGTGTGTGTGTGTGTGTGTGTGTGTGTGCGCGCGCGCACGCGTGTGTTGGCATTAACCAGCTACTTGATCAGGCTGCATTTGTGTAGAAAAAGCAGGCATTTGCTACAGAAACAGTTGTTAAGCTGTTAGGACTTTCCAGACACTGTTCTATGTGCTGGGACTAGAAAACACAGGCCCTGTGTATCAGTGACTTTTGTGGTTGCTGTACCAAAAGCCAGGACCAAAGCAACTTAAGGAAGGAAGGGAGAGCTTATTTCGACTCACAACTTTCAGACACAGGACAGCATGGCAGGCAAGTCATGGCTTGAGTCAGCTGGTCACATTGTACCCATCGGAGGCAGAGAGAGAGAGAGAGAGATGAATACTACTGCTCAGGTCCCTCTCCCTCCTATACAGTCCAGGACCCCAACCCATGGAATGACACCCACAGTTAAGGTGGGTCTTCCCACTTGAACTAATCTCATCTAGAGAAACCTATCACAGACATGCCTAAGCTTCGTTTCCATGGTGATTCTATCAAGTTGACAAGATGAAACCCTCAGAGTAGGTCTCCCATTTCAGAGCACAGGAGACAAGGCCTCGTGAAGAAGATTCTTAGCGTAGAAAGAACAATAGAATAAACCTAGTGGATAATTTAAGCATGAGGGGACACGGGGAATCCTATCCTGAAATATCCTTGTTATTAATTATCTATCACTAGATGCCTCCTTTAAAAAAATGCAATTTGGAGTTAAGACAGGTGGCTCAGGGGTTAAGAGCCATTGCTGCTCTTACAGAGGACTCAGGCATGGTTCCCAGCACCCATGTAGTGGCTCACAATAGGGGAATGCAGTGCCCTGTTCTTCTGGTCTCCACAGGCACCAGGCACACATGTGCAATGCATACATACATGTGTGCATTATGTATAATGCAAACAGCCATGCACTAGAAACAAGTAGATTTTCTTTTCTGTAAGTGTTCTTGGCCAGCTGACTTTTCAGATGTTAGTATTTAAGCATCTGTACTGGCTTGTCCTTCAGGTTCTGACAGGATACATCCTCAGCTGCAGCCACTAAGAGCACCACCTGTGCACATTCACTGTGTTCCCTTTGAAAAGGTCCCCGCCCACCTCCTATTTTTCTCTCTTCTCTCTCTTTCCTCTCTCTCTCTCCTCTTCTTCTCTTCTGTCCCCAGAGGCTGGTCTCACCTCCACCCCAGCCCTGTCACGTGGCTTCTTTCTCTTGCTCGGATGCCACTTTTTAAAAGTAAAACAGATGCAGGATATATTGTTCTGGAAATGTGTCGTAGATCAGAAGTCTTACAAAATACCTCCTGGCTGCTCGACCGTAATAGTTGTGCAGAGTTTTTTGTTTGTTTGTTTGTTTGTTTGTTTGTCTTTTGGGGTTTTTTTTTTGAGACAGGGTTTCTTTGTGTAGTTTTGTAGACCAGGCTGCCCTCGAACTCACCTGCATCTGCCTCCTGAGTGCTGAGACTAAAGGCATGTGCCACCACAGCCCGGCAAGTTGTGCAGGTTTTTCTTCGGCATGACAGTGGGTTGTGTCACTTACTGGCACTGTTTGTCGTCAGTAGGGTATCACAAACCTGATGTCTTACCCCTGATTCAGTAGAAAAACCTTACATGGTTAGAAACACAACCAGTTTCTGTCTTAATTGCACGTGTGGAAGGAAGAACAACCGGAGGCCTGAACTTACAGATAGTTTTGACCTTTGATTGCAAAACCTCCTCCTCTGACATCTTTATGGTATTCATTTCGAAGCCTGTTAGAATACCTGCCTGAAATGCATAGGGAATGCTGCCAACAGCCTGCCAATAAAACCAGCTGGGACTGCAGGCATTTTTGCTTGGCTGCTGCCCCCTGGTGGCTAAACACCAGCATGTTACTCATCCAGTCAGGACTTTCAGCAATGTTACATAAATAGAAACAATCTGGTCCGTTGTTTCTAAGAAATACACTTTTTCTTAGCATACATCCTTTTCCACCTAAAGTCAATTAACTACCCTCTGATTGTACTTCTAAATATTATAATTAGAATAGATTGAAAGTGATCTGCATTTGAGACCTGGCTTGTTCCTGGGCTGTTGAATATACCGAGTCCCTAAGCCGCTGAGGGATTTTCCCAGGAATTTTAAGAATATCTGTTTCAACTTGAAAGACAACTTTAGAGTATTTAATAAACAGCACTATGGTCTACAGACTTAAATGTAAACAAGGATAGAGGCTTTAAGGGAAAATATTGTACATAGGACCAAGTATAGGCATAACGTCAGTTTGGCTGATTAAGATGAGGACCGAATTGCCTAGAATTATAAAACATCACCTGACTATTTGGGAAACTCAGTTCTATTGAAACTATTTCAGGACTCGGGGCTTGATGGAATGCCCGCCTCCCCTGCCTCTGTAAAGCCTGACTCAGAACACGTGGACAAGCCCAAGCTCAAAGCCGGGGGCTCTGTAGAGAGCCTTCGGAGTTCTCTGAGTGGCCAGAGCTCGATGAGTAAGTACATCTCGAAGCATTTCATGATTTCCTTCTGGGGTTACAGCTAGCATTCATTTGGACCTCAAGTTAAGCAAGTTAGAGATAGGCAACTCTGAGCACCTACCCTTAAGGGTGTATTATATATTTGTTCAGGGTTAGGGTTAGGGTGCAAAGGAGGAATGTTTAAGCCTTGATTGGTGAAAATAGGAAATGCATCTGTGAGGAAGGATCTTCTAGAGAATAAGCCAAAGTGCATCTGACCAACAAAACACAGGGATCTGAGCAAGGGGAGGGATTCTAAATGTCCCCGGCAGCAAATATAACTAAGCTGACGATGGCCGCTGCTGGCGGAACCGTGAGAAGGAGGCTCTCAGGTGTGTTTCCCTCCCTGTAATACAATGGGAGAAATGGCATCCGTACAAAAGAGACACCAAGTGCTTTGGGCAAAGGCCAGGGCCGGCCACTGCAGCATTGTCCTCTGGTGAGTCAATGTCCCAAGGGTTCCTGTCATGAGGATAAGGTTCTGGTAGGCCCCTGTCAGCTTAGGAGCTTGATTAGGATGCCGGTCAGGAGACGCATGCCTGGGCCCAGTGGTGGTGCTGTTGCGATGCTGTGGCTCATAGCTCCCCTTCCCGGGCCTCTCCTAATACACAGCACCATTGGTACCTTTTCATCTTTTCTACTTGGGGAGGCTATGCTTATCCCCATTCTCCCTGTTCTCCCGGCGCAGGTGGTCAGACTGTGAGTACCACCGATTCCTCCACCAGCAACAGGGAAAGCGTCAAGTCAGAGGATGGTGACGATGAAGAGCCGCCCTACCGGGGCCCCTTCTGTGGGCGTGCCCGTGTGCACACCGACTTTACCCCCAGCCCTTATGACACAGACTCTCTGAAGCTCAAGGTAGGGCTTGCTTCTCCCCGGTCTTGGGCAGCTAACCCAGGCTCTCTTGTCTCTTGGGAAGGGTTTCTCTCTTCCCTGACATTGGATGCTGGGACTCTTACCATACAGACTAGACCATGTTTTGGCCCCCTTGACCCGCCCCTGGCCTTTATAGTGAGAATAAAATAGAACCAGACAGTGGTCAAGGGTGAGGAAGATGTGCATAAGCTTCCTGTTACCACCACTCCCTCCCTGGTGTTACCCTTTGATCCCAGATTCCTTCTAGAAATTTTATGCCCCTCCTTCTAAGCTTCCTTTGTCTGAAGGGAATAACTGCTCTGTATGTGTACAGAGAGTTTATAGGGGAACCTAAAGATGCAGTTCAACATAGCATATATGGTGTGGCTACAGCTTAGGGAGTGCCCTCTTGTGACTGGTAGCAAGCTCTTTCTCCACGAGCAGGATGCTGTTCCAACAGCCAAGGCAGGCAACCTGATCAAGAGCATGAGTGACAGCTCTGACCCTACAGAGCAGGAGGCAGGGAAAGTTGTGACCTTGGGTCAGCATGGCATCGAGCACGATTAGAAGTGCTCTGTCCCGCTTCTGTCAAGCTCCCATCATGGCCTGTCTCGGTCACTCAGTCAGTAACATGCTTGCTGCCCAAAGCATCTGTGGAAAAGCTGGATATGGTGGAGTGCACCCCTGTAAAACCAGTCCTGTGGGTGAAAGGCTCATTGGCCAGTTATTCTAGCCAATTGATGAAAGCTAGATTCAGTGAGAGTCTCTGTCTCAAAAATAAGATGGAGTACAATGGAGAAAATGACTGGACATTTACCTCTGGTCATCACATGTACATATGCACATACCCACACCACCATATCTGCATGGCCCATACACACAGACACACCAACATATCATCTGCATGGCCCATACACATAGACTCACCAACACACCCACATACCTGCATGGTCTGTACATATAAACACAACATTAAAGCAGGAAGCTGACTCTTGGGATTCTGAGTTATGTCATTGCGCTTGCTTAGAAGTATGCCTAATGGAAATACCTTTGTCCCCTGGGCTGCAGAAAGGAGATATCATTGATATAATAAGCAAGCCACCCATGGGTACCTGGATGGGCCTGTTGAACAACAAAGTCGGCACATTCAAGTTCATCTATGTGGATGTGCTAAATGAGGATGAGGAGAAGCCCAAGCGTCCTGCCAGGAGGAAGAGGAAGGGAAGGCCACCCCAGCCGAAGTCTGTGGAGGATCTCCTAGATCGGATCAACCTAAAAGTCAGTCACTTGTTACTTTTGTCCTATATGTGTCCTTGTTGTCTTTTCTTCTTCCTAAACTGGGCAAGTGATCTATGTCATCTTGCATGTGTGATTCATGTCTAGTGACGCCCTTTACCTCTACTAAGGCTAATAACACAACATAAGCTCTGTGTTAGTATTCTGCCCATAGCCACCTCCATGGGACCGTGAGGCACCCACTTTCTTACCTCTCCCTTGCTATAACTCCCAGCATCTTCTAGAAGAGTATGCCTACAGTGGTAGATTTTGGTTTCCAACTTATAAAACATCTTGCTCCTGAGAAATTCATAGGTTTTGCTAAGTTGGATTTTGATTAGCCCTCCAAATATAAAAGGAGTCTTCTCACCTTGGGCAATGTGGTGATAAAGGAGTTAGTGACTATCTTGGGCGCAGTGACAATGACAGCAAGTGGGATATCCATCACAGTGTGCAGATAGCTTCTGAAGCTATCAGTGAGTGAACCCATACACCCCTATCTGCCTACTCAGCTGGAAGACTGTGAGCCACAGAATATATTACAAATGATACTCATCTCTTGCTTAGCATAAAAATTATTATGAGAAAAAGTCTGAAGGGTCTCAGGCTAGTCTTAGGACATGCATCGCATGGCTGGACCATGGACTGGCTTTGATCTTCTTGCTCTGCCTCACAGGAACACATGCCTACTTTCTTGTTCAATGGCTATGAAGACCTGGATACCTTCAAGCTCCTGGAGGAAGAAGACTTAGATGAATTAAACATCAGGGACCCAGAACACAGAGCAGTTCTCTTGACAGCAGTGGAGCTGTTACAGGAATATGACAGTAAGTTCCCAAACAGACACACACACACACACACACACACACACACACACACACACCGCTAAAGAACATCACCATCATCATTATGATTTTTATTGTCACCCACAGGCCTCAGATAAGCTGTGATCATGTGCTTAGGGTCCCTGTAGTCTAAGAACAATTGATCTTGTTTTTTTTTCCAAAGCCAAGGCTAATTTTATATTATGACCAGTTTACAGACCAGACATTCCTGTAAGTTGGTAGAAAAAGAATACTGCCCCAGGGCCTTTCTGAAGGGACCAGTAGGCTCTACCTTGTTCTTGTTGGAATGTGCAAGCTTCAGCAGGTAAATAACTATCCCTGGGTGAAAAAAACGAAACAACAAAATGCTAGTTACTGGTGAGTCTTTTTGCCCATCTAAGGGTTACTCATCTTCTGAAGCATGGTGATTTTATTTTTTCTTACTGACATAAGCTTATTAGTGAATAAGTTGATCCATCCGTTTGCAGAAACTGTCTCCCTGAAGTGAGTATGTGGGGCAGGAATTCCCAAACTAAGTATGAGAGCTACATTTATACCCTGTGAACATACTCTAGGGCATCCATTGCTGTTGCTGTGCTAAGCCAGGCTTACGTTCTTTATTCTTCAGTCTGACATTAAAAACAAAAACAAAAATTCTTAAACTTATTCATCATGGAGGACGTATCCTTCCCAGTTCTTGAATTCAAGTATATTTTCTTTCTGTGCTCTAATTCCAGGGTACCAGTCGCTAATTCATTTCTATTGCCGAAAGACATACCAAAACCATGGTTAATGATGGGGGAGGATTAGACATTATAAATGGTCCCCAGTTTAGGATTTTCTTGCTTTTCTGATGCCAGGAAAGCAATACATATGGTAGAAACTGTACTTCAATTTTTGAATCCCATGAAGGCAGGGTTTAAATGAGTCCATCAGACTCAAGATAAATAGGTATTTATTAGGGAAACACACAGATAAGAGTAATAACTATAGCAACCTTCCTGCTCCAGAAGTTATAGTCTCCATCCTTCTGATGCCCTCTAAAACCCCAGCGAGCTGGAGCCAGCCTCTCCTCTACCTTATAATGGGTCACATCTGTGCCTGAAACCACGCCCAAAGGGCGTGGCCACCACCACAAGTTCACTGGCAAGGCAAGATGCCTCTATAATCCCATTCTTTTCCTAGGTGAGCAATGTCCAGTCTGTACACTTACAGTGCAGGCAGAGCAAGAGCTGTGAGCTGGGTCTCCTGCTCAGCCCTGAGACCAAGATGGGCAGCAGCTCATACTGTCCCAGATTGCTCAATAGGATGGATATGCAGTGGGTTAGGGGTGATAATTGCATTTTATTGTATATTTTCCAAACACACTACGGTAAACTGAGGAACACTTGTATTTACTGGATGCGTAAGACCCAGTAGTAAAGGAGGCCTCCGAGTCAGTGAATTCACTCTTTAAATTAACCAGTAACGTTAAGGGATGCTGTCGCTGGAAGTCTGAACCTTAGTTGTGGTGGTTAATATTGTCAGCTTGATGTCATTCAGATCACCTAGGAGACAAGCCTTTGGAAATCATTAAAATGCATTAGCTTTAGAGCATGCCTGTGAGGGGGATTGGGTAGATGAGGGTCATTGAGGCGGAAGGACCCATGGGTGTCACCATAGCGTGAGCTGGGGTCCTGGACTAAATAGAGGAGAATGTGAACCATGTATTAACATCCATCTCTGTACCTTCTGACTCTCAGTACCACGTGAGTACCTGCTCAAGCAGGATGGACTTTTCCCTAAAACCCTGGTAACTCTAAGCTGTTTTAATCAGAGCAGTTATCACACCCTCGGAGAAAGTATATCACACCCTCGGAGAAAGTAACTATACACAGCCTTCAGGTCTAGACCTAGAGGGTGTCCTGTGACCTGTGTGGTGTTTTGTGACCGGGTCTCTCTATATAGCATTTGACCCTCTAGGGATACCCTGGGGTCTCAGACCAGGTTGTCTGTAAACAGCCTGCATAGTGATGGATATGGCTGACCTGCTCTATCCATATGAATTAAAGTTGAGCCATCTGTTCCTCTGGCCCACATCTGCTCTGCATTATATGCCATTTACTCGTCCACAACCATGGAGGACAGCTGGCTTATATACATTATTCATTATATTTCCTGTTTCACTAAAAGTCAGAAGAGCAAGGCTAAGTCCTGCATATTGGCAGGGATCTGAGCCTAGTTTGACATAACACATTGGCTCAGACTCGTGGTTGGTCCTAGGCTCATATATTAAGATTTGTACCAGAATCATTTTATAAGATATCTTCATCCACCATGATGCTAACTTGGAAGGCTCAGGCAGAGTCATTGCTTCATCATAAACCCCATTTAGGGTCTATGCATTTCCATTGTTTGCAGTTTCTCTGATACATAAAATAGAATCTCCTTTTATTGATCTTGAAGCAAAGGCTTTGGGGCTCAATGGTTGTAATTAGTGTTGAGAGGTCCCATCCAGAGGTGGTCCTCAGTGATGTAAGACTTTCCATCCAATGCAGTTAAATTCATTGTAATTAAGAAAAAACTCCCTCCAAGTACCTCAGTCACTTGGAGAAACACCACCATTAGTGTTCTGCCAAATTCAGTTTGTATGCAGTCGAGACATAGTGGGCTAGTAAGGATCCCAAAGATACATGGGAACATCTTGAAGTGTTCCAGCTCATACTTCCACTGAAACGAATCAGTACATCTCCAGTATGGCTTGGAAACACGACCCATCCCATATCTCCCAATAGATGAGGAAATGTGACCTCCAGCCAACCTTCTGCTTGGAGAAGATTGCCAGCTCACTCTTTCTTATACTCCTTTATGCCCTCTACTAAATGAAAAAGTAAAAAAGAACCTTGAAGTTATTTACTTTAAAAAAAAATGTAGTAAAGTACACATACCATAGAGTTTGCCATCTTAGCACTGTGCAGCTCGATGGAAGCAGTCCTTTGAAGCTGGGCTTGGGGACTCACAGCTGCAATCTCAATTTACTATTTCTTAGGGAATCCACTGTTGATACAAGTATGGTGGGGCTTATCGAAAGCCCCAGGCTAACCTAGGCTACAGAGAGGCCCTGACTGAAAGAAGGGAGGTGTTCATTTTTATAAGCCTCTTAATTAAAGATTATTTGACGTATGCAGGAAGCACAGAGGAAAATAAAACATATGTGTGCAGAGTCACTCCCTGAATCCAGTGTGCTATGCGGGAAATACTGTAAGCCCTTGCAGGGGCTTCTCCAGGAATTCCGGTTCCTCCCCTATTCCCAAGAGAGCTGCTGTCTAGAAAATGGCATGTGCTCTTAAATGCCATTGCTTTTGATGTTTGAAGATCTCGGTGTCTTTGCATGTTCTGCCCGTGCACATGCTCACGTGAGTGAGTGGCTGGAGCAGGGAAGAGCTTGAGACCCAACACTCACGAGTCCCTTCACGTTGTGACCAAGTGGCATGGCATTCCTCTTGATCTTGTTTGAGTGACAGCTGGCTTCTTCCTCATGGCCTTGATCTTTTCTCTGTTGGCATTGATGCTAGTAAGTGTGGGAGGAAAGTCTGCACACAGAAGTCACCCTTCTCCCTTCTTGTGAAGATGGTGCCTCAGCCCCTTGTGACATGGGCCCCGTACGACTGTACATTGCACCGTGGTTCTCGGACACAGAGATTCTTTCCTTTCTCATAAGAACTGGATTTGGTAGCGCCTGGTAAGGCTTGGGTCCTGTTTTTTCTTTCCTGTGCTCCAGTCAGCACTGGGCAGTCATTTTTTCACTGCTCTGGTACACTGAACTGTTGGCCCGCCGGGACAGATGAGTGGTCCTTCCTCCTGGGTAGTCAAGGACAGCTCAAAGCCTGCATTTACAAGTATCATTTTCCTAAATAGCATGCTAGACAAGAACAAAGGCCGGTCCAAACCCACAGCCTCTTCCACGGGATGAGAACATCACAGCGGAATGTTCCAGTTTGAGGTTGTTTGGAGTCGAGGGGGGCAGTCAGCATTTGCTTGTGTGCTTCTAGTTTGTTAACTTTTCACTAATCGTTTGATAACTAGCACTCTTGGGGCTGTAATTAAAGGATGTGTTCTGACATCCTCTCTGGCATCATACATGTGACTGTATGTTTTCCCCCTGAGAAATACAAGCAGGAAGAGTAAAGGGAATGATGGGAACCCACCAGCGCATGTCTAGCATGGTAGCCCTCAGCCTCCCCACATACTTATTTTGATGACCTGAGAAAATGTCTCATATTTCTGGTTTCTTGATTTCCTTCTTTTTCTCTTTGTGTGTATGGTTGGTGTAGGCAGGTGAAAGAAAAATAAATTAAAGCCATTTGTCTTTGAGACTGGCTATTTATGTAGGAAATGTTCTCTTGGCTTCCATTTTGTGTGACCAAGTACTTTATCCACATAGTTATCTGTGAAAGCCCTCAGTGGCCTGGACTCCTCCAGCTCCCTCTATAGAAAACACAGAGTGATGCTGCCTGGGAATCAAATGTTTACGTGTTTCCCACATGATTTACTCCAGGAGACTCCCTAACACCTGTCTCCTGATTTCTCTCCTACCCCTTCTGAGGTCCGATTGATGATAATGTATTTTTTTTTTTTTTTTTTTTGGATGGGTTGCTCAAGGTGGAGTGGTTCCGTTTGCCAGTCAGAGGGTCTCCTCAACGGTTTTCCTACTTTGGATGCAGGGAATAGGGATGCTTGCCCAAGGCAGAGCGAGAAGGGTCAAGAGAACAGAAACCTTCAATACTCCAGAAGACATAAGATTTGTTTCTCCTCGTGTAGATGTCTGTTCTCTCTCACCAGCCTTCCTCTGGCGAAGACAATGCAGTAGGCAGACTATTGTTACCACAGGCTGACAGTATTCTCCAATACTAATAAAGCAATATTTCATCTGACATGTTTATATAAGCTCCCAAATTTGAAGAGTGTGTAACATCAATGACTTGAAGTTCAAGTCTTCAGGTGCCTGAAAAGCCCTTGACCCTATGCACCTAGGAAATGGCTTATTCGCTCACACTACTTCTCACTCAGAGGGCCATCGCTCAGCAGTGATGCTTATTTATACCACACTCAGAATTTCTCCTCCGAGTGGCTTAATTCTGCCTCTGCAGAGCTTGGGAGACATCTTCATATTTCAGTCCTGGGCTCTGTCACCAACCTTATTTTCACACAGTGGATACGTTACTCAAAAGAGAAGTGTTCTTATTTTATTTGCTCACTTTTAGTTAGGCATAAACATGTGTGTCTGTAGCAAAAGCTAAAAATCTGGCTGGCTTTGGGGCTCCCGGTGCCATCATGTGGTGTATTCATCTCCAGGTAACAGTGACCAGTCCGGGTCCCAGGAGAAGCTGCTGGTGGACAACCAAGGGCTGAGTGGATGTTCCCCGCGGGATTCTGGATGCTACGAGAGCAGCGAGAACTTGGAAAATGGTAATGTTTGCTCCAACCACCGGAGCATGCTTCAACAATTGCCAATTTCAAACATGTAACAATATCCTGTCCAAAGGCTCAATTCTTGTATGGCAGGGAGGCCCCTGGTCACCTTTCCATTTCTGGCCTTGTTACCCGCTACTCTTCAGTTAACCCCTGTGCTTAGCCCAGGGGTTACATGAGGTTTTTAAATTCTCTCTAAAATACCTGTATCCGTAAAACCTAAATTGGGTGTCTCCTGTGTCCTTTTCTCCATATAGTAACCACCAACATCTCAGTGCTAGGAATGATGAGGCCCACAAAAAAGAAAACATTGTCTTATATGTCGTAGCCACAAAGCCTGATTCCGGAGGCAATTACTCCTAGAGAGGGTGACTAGAAGGCCACATGTCTTATTTATGGCTTCTCTCTCTTAATAGTTGAGAAGCAGTCAATATAAAACTTCTCCACACAGAACCAAGGTCTTAAGCAGAATAAGGCAGAAAGGGTAAATGGCATAGCAGGTGACTCGGTGGCTTCCCGTTGTGCCCCCCAAATTCCCATTATTGTAAGATTAGAAACAGTAGTGAAGGGTTCATGCTGCCGCCATGGCCTAAGTCTCTCTGTTGGACATTTGAAGACTATAGTCACCAAATACCCAGGTTCCATAGCGTCGAGCAGCTATTGGGATTCTCACAGGTTAGACTGTTTCTTAGCATTTACTGAAGCAAACCATCTTAGACTGCAGGCTGCGCCTTGTTAGTGGGTTGTGAAATCAATTTAGTGGCCCATGGATAACAGTTTTCCAGGACAAAGTAGAAATCACATTCAATAGGGTAAGGCTTAGACTCTTTAGTAGCTTTACTATAATTTTCGCTTCACACGTGCCTGGTGGGTAGTAAGCATAAACTGTGTTTGGTAATGTAAATCATGCTTAAAAATTAATAGCATGAGAGAGTTATTTGGGGGCACCTAAACCAGTTCTAAGATAAGGCAAATAAATGCCTGGCTTCCAAATCTCATGAGGAGCACTGCATTGTTTTTAGCAAACTGCAAACCCTTATGTAGGTTTAGAAGGTATTTTTGTTTTTTTTTTGTTTGTTTGTTTGTTTGTTGTTTGTTTTTTTTTTATTAGTAACTTTTGTTTCGCTGAAGCGGTCTGCTAAATTAACCCCAGTGGTGCTGGACTGGTAAATCAGGAAAAATAAAGATAGCACTGCCAAAGGTGTTAATGCCCAGAAGAACACAGTTATACCTGTTGAAGAATTGGATTAAATAACCTGGTGGGCTGTGCTTTGATTTCAGGGGAACTCAGTCTGGCATTGGTACATGTATGGTTTATATTGGGGGGGGGGGGCGGGTAGCGAGAGGAAAACGTATTTCTAAAACTTGTGTTCAAGGAATTTTAAGTTTTCTGTTCCCGCTGACTTTTAAGCTTTCATATAATGTTGCTCTCTGAAGCATTTCCCCTTTCCATGTAGCTGTGGTGACTTTCCTGTTAGTGAGAGATGGGGGTGGGGGGGTGGCTAGTACGTTCGGTAGCCACAGGAAGCCAGTATCTATCTCCAGGGGTCCACAGAATAGCAACCTATTAAGAAGGGGCTAGTGTGTGGAAATCGGGAGGGACAGGGTTTGCAATATGAACCTCTTCATAGAGGATCCCTACCATTTGGTCAGGCCTCTCTGCTTTGCAGGATGTAGAGTGTTTCATATGGTGGTTTGGGTCTTATCACAAAGGCTGGCCTCATTAATAAAAAGTGCAATTGAGGAGAGAGCTGTTCTCATCCACCAGCCTTAGGGTCTGTAGTTATGCTTGGCGTGAAACGCTTCATATTGTCAGTGTGAGGGCTGAGCAGAATAGAGAGCTGGGAAATCATGGACGGGAACCCTTTTTCTCCCTGATGATGAAGGCTAACCCACTTGTAATGTGAGAGCCCCAGGCCTTTCTTTCTGTTCCATTTCCTTCATCTAGACTGCCTCATGGAGAGATATTTTATCAAAGAATGCCTTCCATCTGCCCTAAAGCGGCTATTTACCTTATTGAGTGGGCGCCATCCAACCCAGTTTCTTATTCTCCCTATCAGATCGGTCCACAGCCTGATTTCTCTCTGCTGCTCTTTGTGTATTACATTGAAAGGGTAGTATTGCTTAAAGGTAACAGTCGGAATTCTAAATTCTTAGTTATATTAATAACTTACTAGCTTTTTGGTGATCAGACACAGACGTTTCTTTGTGCCTTCCAAGCCGGACAACGATTTGTGGTGTTTTCATCCCGTCTTAGAATAGCATAGTCGCGTGGCCCAGATGTTGTGTTACCTGAAATATTCTCAGGTTTATCAGAGCAGCTACTAGGGACACAACACTTGTGTCATTTTGAAAAGAAGAGAAGAACACCATTGATATGGTGTATGTGCTTGAACTTGGACTTGCCTACATAGTATGCATGAGCTTTCCTATACCTACAAACATGCCTACATAGTCAGTGAGCATGAGCTTCCCAGTGCCTACACACATGCCTACATAGTCACAACATGTGCCCAGAAAAGCTTGTCACACATTAGCTGCCACAGTAAATACAAACCAAGAGCTATCAAATTAGTGGGTTATGTCTGGCTCATGTTCAGCTAGCAAGCTGACTATTCATTTTAATCAGGACAGTTGGCGCCCTAGAAGCATCTAAGTAAGTATTTTGTAGATGCTGTGGCAAAACACTCCCTGCAGCTTGCTTGCTGGTCTGTGTCACGGTTGCCTCTTTGTTTCTGGGTAAATATGTTCTAGTAGAGCAGCTGCAAGGAAGGAATGATTTGAGTGTTTGTTTTGTTTAGATCACCCCTTCCTGGGTTCCATTCATAGAACCCGTTCTAAGAAGTCAGTTCAGCCATGGCTTCAGAAAATCAAGTCACTAAACACCTTACAGTTTGGTTTCTGAGTAAGGTGTCTATAGCCAATCAGCTTCTACACCGAATGCGGCTTGGACTAGGCATGAACCCTAGGCATCGTCTGCTTGACATAGCATTTCTTATCCACATAATCAATTAGTTTCCACCTACATAAGTACTTTAATGGGACTAGAGTTCTTTATAAAAATAACAACAGGCTCCCCAATCACCCTGCACTTTCCAGTCTCCTGAGTGACAGTTTTGTTGATTTGTACATCAGTCTCATTGACTGGTAAACATGGTTGCAGAAATTTCTCTTTCTCTCACAGGGAAAGCTCAGAAACCCAGCGTTCTGTCTACCAAGTCATCCACAGAGTCCAACTTAAAGTCTTTCAACAGGAGTCAGCCAGGCAATTACCCGACGTTGCCATTAACAAAATCAGTGGAGGTTCGCAAGCAGGCAGAGGAAGACAGGCTGGGACGGGGCATAGCCCCGGACATCGCCAAGAGCTGTGATGTGCCCTGTGTGTCTGGCTTGAATAAAAACCGAAGGAGCCTCCCCGCCTCCATCTGTCGCAGCTGTGAAACCCTGGAGGGTCCTCAGCCAGTGGAAAGTTGGCCCCGATCCCATTCCCTGGATGACCTTCAGGGAGAGGTAGATGCAGGAAAGGATGTGCCTACCGAGGTGCAGGAAGCCTGTCCTCAGAATGTACCAGAAGTGCCACAGAAGACATCTGCCTGCACCTCCGAGGCTCTGCCCCGAAGCCGAGATCCTATTGCGGAAGACATGATGCTTCTGACCCAAAGCAAGAGATTTTCTGACCCCCCGAAAATGATGGCTAAGAAACTGGATGGGTCCCCAGTGGCCTCTAACCTTGGCGTATGTCCTCCTCAGTGTGTGCCCAGAAATTTCGAGGCTCAGCCTCCAGTTAAACCCGGCTTAACAAGGACGTCTCTTGAGGGTCACAGGAAAGGACAGGACCACCACCCCCTGGGCACCAAAGGAGGGGTAGATGTGGAACAGAATGCCCCTGAGACCAGGACGCAGCCCAGACATCCTTCGCAGCCCCCTCCCGTGCCTGCCAAGAAGAGTCGAGAGCGCCTGGCCAATGGCCTGCACCTGGTTCCCAGCCTGGAGGCGCCCACCCTGCCGCTGAAAAAGGCCAGCCCCACCAGCCCCTGTGACTGTCCCTCTCCCCGGGAACCTAGGCCTCCCTCGGGGACTGAGCCCGGCAGCCCAGTCTGTGCCAGACCTCCACCCTGGCTGGCGGAGCTGCCTGAAAGCACCAGCCTACAAGAACACGGTGTGAAGCTGGGCCCAGTGCTGAGCAGGAAGGTTTCCTGCGTCCGGGGCGTGGACCTGGAGATGCTCACCGAGAGCAAGCTGCAGGCCGAGGGCATTGATCTCACTGAGGAGCCCTACTCTGATAAGGTATGCAAGGCCTGGGTCTTAGGGCCTCTGACTGTTGTTTTTCTCAGATGAATGCTGGGCTAGGGGGAGGCAGGTGCTGTGCAGACAGTGGCACATTGTGCTTATTGCCTCTGTGAGCTGGAAGTGTACCCACTACCCCTGGATTCAGTACAAATGCAGCTTTGTGGTTTTCTTTTCCCCTTGTTTGGTTTTAGTTTTTGGCAGCTGCACTTTGCAGGGACTGCAGTTAGTACCAGACCTGGTCCCTAATGGGATGAGCAAGAGAGACCTGAACCTAGGGTGCATAGCCCACAGCGGTCCCTTGTGTTCCTTTCTGTGTAGTTTAACCGGGGTTTCAAATAAGCAGTATTATCTACTCCTAGATTGCTGTAAACAAATACAGCTAATGGGAGCATACCCAGAAAACCATGGCACTCAGTTCAGTGTCCTGTCGGGATGCACTACAACAATTACACGATTACCTGTACGTAACAGGGTTGGAGACACGGTATGAAAATCCATGGTGTGCCAAAACCATCCGTATCTCTAGCAAAGTACAGTTTTCATTTGAAAAAGAAAGAGGCTGTCAACACCAAAGAGACTTTGAAGACAAATCAGTGACAATACAAGTGGCTGTCCTGCTCTCTGGGAAACGCATCTTCTATTATAACATCTTCCCAAGAGTCTTTGCTATTAAATTCTTATGATCATGAGGACCTCCTGAGAATGCCCTCTCCTCCCCCCCCCAGGATTTTCCTTTCTCCCCCCTTTGATACTTCACGACTGTGTTCCTTTGAAGGGAAAATAGGGGGAGCTGTACGGTAAACGTGGCCTGGTGATACAGTGTTACCATTCTCAGATGAAGGGCGAACAGCATCTGTACAGCAATGGTTTGTCTTTCTATAGATTAGGGGACTATACTTAATGCCCTAAGGAACTGAATTTTGTAAAAATATGAGTTTAAGGCATTGGCTTGAAAAATACTCTGAAATATTTGGAGCTTGTTGGTATCTGGAAGGTGAAAATACGAGCATGCTCCTTTTCAAGTATCTGTCCCAATAATAAATAGGAAATGCTCCTGCTGAGCTCACTCTTGGTATTATTCACCGATAGCTTAAGCCTTACTGCTTGTCAGCTCTTAAGTGGGCGGGGAATGTTTCTCCCACCATTCACGCCACACATCTCTCTCTCTCCTGGTAGCATGGCCGTTGTGGGATCCCCGAAGCTCTGGTACAGAGATATGCCGAGGACTTAGATCAGCCCGTGAGGGATGTCGCCACCAATATGGACCAGATCCGGGTGAAGCTGCTTCGGAAGCAGCATCGGATGGCGGTGAGCAGCCCACATTTTGGGGAGAGGAGCCCATAGTTTTCTGTAGTACATTTACTTACATGACAATAGCTGAAAAGTGTTAACGATACAAGGGCTTGCTAGAGCCCTAGGAAAATCATATGGTCAGGGTAGGTTTTGATTTTGTTTTTTGTTTTTTTTTGGGGGGGTTGTATATGTTAGAAAAGGACTGTACCACTGAGCTACACTACCAGCCTGTACAAAATCAGGGCCGGAGAGATGGCCCAGATAGCGAAGAACACAGGCATGAGGAGCCAGGTCTTATCTCCAGAGCCCATGGGCGAAGGACCTGGGTGCCCGTAACCCTGTGTGTGGTTGGAAGGCAGAGACAAGCAGATCCCTGGAGCTCGCTGAGCATCCAGCGTAGCCGAGTCAGCAAATTCCAAATGAAAGCCAGAGGCCCTGTTTCAAAATAAAAGATGGAAAACTCCTAAGAAAGGACATGGAAGGTCAACCTCTAGCCTCTGGCCTCCACACGTATGATGTGCACCTTCGTGAACATGCACAATTATACAAATTATGTGGGCTCTAATGCTCTGCATACCTCCTTCTGAAAGACAGCCTTTTAGGTTTTAACATCCATTCCTCTGCCCTAGTCAACTCTTGATATTATTATATTTTAAATTGTTAAAATACAGAGTCTAAATACAGTAGAAAATACATTTTGTAAAAACCCACCCACTGAGCACAGTCAACACAGTCATACAGGTTTGTCTCTGCAGTCCATCCTAGCTAAAGGAGACAAAAATAACAGGACTGACATAAATGCCTACAGCATGGAGCCTCAAACACATAATTGGGATTAGATCAAATCCCAGATCCCTTCTAGAACGTTCTAGAATAATTCCTTGAAAATATTTTTTTTATTTTATTTTTTGAGCAGAGTTCTTAATGTTTGGGTATCTTTTAGCAGTAGCATAGCTCAGTGCTGTCCCTTTTAGCCATACAAAAGTAACCCTCTCGTGGTACCTGTGCAGTCTTCATGACATGGCTTTCCTTATTCACCCAGATCCCAAGTGGCGGGCTCACAGAAATCTGCAGGAAGCCCCTCTCTCCAGGCTGTGTGGCATCCATGTCGGATTGGCTCATTTCCATTGGCCTGCCCATGTACACCAGCACCCTTTCCGACGCAGGGTTCAGCATGCTGAGCCAAGTGCCTTCCCTGTCCCACACTTGCCTTCAGGAGGCCGGCATCACAGAGGAGCGACATATAAGGAAGCTCGTATCCGCAGCCAGACTTTTCAAACTGCCACCAAGCCCTGAGGCCATGTAGCCAGGCCTGCCATGGCCTTCCCTGGACAAAAGCCAGCCTTCCACTGTGCTTACGAAGCTGATACAATCCCGCCATATCTGCTGGGGTTGACCCGATCCAGAAGGAAAGTCCCTAGCCGGGCTCACGAATAGCAGGATTAGGACGCGAACCGAGGAAAAATACCCCCCTGCCCCAAGGAAATCGGTGTGGTTCTCCGTGATCCCCAAAGGCAAGACAAGCACTTAGTTTTGTTTTCAGACACAAAAGAGCCAAGATGCCAAGTTATTGCAAAACAGTGTGCGTCCATCCAGTCTGCCTTTGTGCTGGCAGAGTGGCTAGGAGGAAAGGACAAGGCAGCCCGTTCGCATCTGATCATGCCCTTGCCTATCTGTCGGTCACCCCGCTGGATGCCGGAGCCCGACGGGCTGAGCTAGGCCAAAGCAACAAACTCTGGAGTTACTGTACACTATTGACCATACTCATTTGTTCAGAAGTGAAAACAGCTGACTACTACACCAAGAACAGAACAGTCCTACTCTCCTGTAGATACACAAGAGACGGTTTAATTGCTTTCTAGCAATTAGCTTTTATTTGCCTTAATATAAACTTTTAATCAGTTATCTTATCTAGTGTCAGCAACCCTTAACCCTAGTTTTAAGTCTTCAGCTTAAACTGCCATCTAATGTATTTGGGGTGTTTCCAGCAAAAATAGCCTTTTTTTTTTTTTTTTTTTTTTTTAAACACTCTCATTCTAACGTGGTTTATTTTGTAGAGGTGATTACCAGGCACACATTTCATGTTGACTTTTAGCTTTTAAACTAACTACAATTTCAGTACAAGTCGATCTGCACTCATAGAGGGGCTCCTACGTTCACATGAGCATACCCTTCCTTGTACTCACTTTAGCGAGTGGCCATCGTGGTGGCCACGACGTTGCAGAGTTTATGTCAAATCCTTACCGTGTCCATCCCAAAATCCAGTCATCAGCTAATGGGTCACCTTTGCAGAGAGAGACATTGTAACGTTGCAAATTTCAGAAAGATTTTTTTTTTTTTTCTAAAAAGGGAAGTAGTTTACATGCAGTTTGTTTTTGTTTGTTTGTTTAACTTTTTTTTTTCCTTTTTGGCCAGTTCTATAATTGTTTTTCATCTTTCATTTGTTACTTAGATAATTATTTTATTTCAAACAAAGGTTTATTGTGGAGCCAGACAAGCCACATTAGCTGTGTGTTAAATATTGCATGTTTTCTATTGTTTTTTTCCTGCTGTGATTTCAGCGTATCCTCTCCTCTCCTTGTCTAGTGTCTGGTTTTTCCAGCAATCAGCAATTTAGCCAGGTACACAGGTTGCATTGCTTCCAAAGTGTTTTTTCTTCGCGTTCTCACGAGCACTGTGGGAAGTCTCAAGTTATCATGGAAGCACTTTGAATCCAAAGTCCTGTGAAATTTCATTGGGTTATGAAAACACGATTTCCCGCAGGGGAGAAGGGCAAGTGACTTTATGAATAAGCAAGCCACCCTGGCTATATGGCTTCTACGCCTGGGTCCCTGCCTCCGAGGAAAAGAACATTCTCAGGTGATGTTGCTTTTATGTTTTATTCCCACATTTTGGTATGCATTTAAAATAACAATGTATGTTCCTTCAATCCCACCCGCCTTCTATAAGATGCCATGTGAAGAAGTTGAGGCAACATAGACTAAAAAGGGAAAGCCCCCCAGATTCCTATTGGACTCTTTAAAAAAAAAAAAAAAAAAAAAGGAGCTCATGGTTGGCCTCCTGGGTTGTGGCATAGCCGGCCTCGTGGGTGCGGAGGCAGGGTTCTCAGCCAGCCACAGTGCCCTGGCAATGGAAATCAGGCGTTGGAAGTAACCCTGGCCTGACATTGTGACAGATTCTGCTCGGGATTTTAGCTGAGCAAACATAACAAGGGAGGAGGAGAAACCTCCCGTAAATTTCCAAGTTTTCATTTGTTCTCAGCATAGGGTTTTCTTTTTAAGTTGAACCTAGTACCAGAGGTCTTGAGAATGCCAAACAATATTTTTTATCACTCTGGAAATCATTGCCTTTGCATGGAAAATTAAATTCAGGGACCATGAATTTAGTGTGAATGTCTGAAGGGGCTGAGGTTGTTCTCTCTCTCTCTCTCACTCTCTCTCTCTCTCATTTTTGTTTGCTTTTTCTTCTAACAATTCATTTGGTCTGAATAAAGCCTGAATGTTGGTATGTGACACTGAGGTGGCTTGGGGCTGCCTGTGGCTGTTAGCAGACAGGTGGCAAGCTTTAGCAATATCCAGTTTTGATCAGTTGCATTAGATTTTGAGCGACGGTGAAAAGTGTTGTCTTTGGAAAGCACAAAAGAAACCTGGAAAGGCGTTTTGGCTCAGGTAGCTACCCAGAATGTGTGTGATTTGTACGTCACAGCTGTCTGCAGAGAAAACAGCTGCCCAAACTACTATTTACATTCCCAGCAAATAGCTTTTCATGGCCTTGCATATTTGGGGGCCCTTTTCTCTGTCCTGACCCCAGGTGTGGATGAAATTGGAAATGATTCCTCTGTGAGAAGCGTATCCCCAGCGCAGAATGGTGTGTCTCACAAAGGCAGTGGAAACAAAGTAGATTCCCAAGTCACTTGCTGTGTGAGGATTGAGTGAGGTTCCAGAAAAATCTGTCTTGCGTCCAAGTCATCTTGATTTTTAAATTGATAGAAAAGAAAAACAAACTGTCAAGCAAGTTATATGACAACTAACAACATTGCACTTTCTGTATATGAAATCAATATTTAAATAACTTATTTTTCTCCATTGCTGTTCTTAAACATTGTAAGTAGCTGTAATATACCAATACCAATACCTTCTTGCAATTGCTTCAGCCCAAGAAAGCTGTGTATTGTTTTAAAAATTGTAAAAAAAAAAAATTATTGTGATGATCCATTTAGAAAAAGAAAGGTGGACAGGAGGGTTTTCCTGTGTATGAAAACTTGTCTGTAATTATGTCATTTATGTACCTAGGGGAAAAAGTAAATAAATTCTTCAGTGGAATCTGTTTCTCCGCTTTTGCAATGCCTCAAAGAACAATGAAAGGGGAATATTAAAGTGTAGTTAAGGAGTGCAGTGTTTTGTGAAAATATTAATTGTACAGGGGTCCTTTTTTAATAACTCAAAAAGATTCTTTGTTTGCCTGATGTGTGCATGGCTGTGTTCATGTGTATGTGGGCATGGGTGTGCATGGCACATGCTTGGAGGTCAGAGGGCAGTCTTGGATGTCAGTCGTCAGCTTCCATTTTGTTTGAGACGGTCTCTTGTGTGTGAACTGCTGTGTCCACCAGGCCAACTGGTCGACATGCTTCCAGAGTTTCCTGCCTCTCCCTCAGATATCATTGGTGGGATCACCAAGGTTACAGACGTGGGCTACCGCATCCGGTTTTGCTTGAGTTCTGGGTATTCAAGCTCAGGTCCCCACTTTTACCTCCTAAGCCATCTCAGCCCTCCTCATTTCCCACAGCCAAAGCACACTGTGGGATCTGCCGAGTTATCATTCTAGTTTTCTTTTTGAATACGTGACAGAGAGCCATTATCATGGCCTCTCTCAAAAGCAAGATGTTGGGGGACCATCATGAAGAATGTGGGGCCATATAGCTGGTTTACTTGACCAGTAATTCACAGTGGCATGTAATAACCAAATTCAGTCTTCTACTGAAGGAGAGGGAAATTTTCAGGTTGAGATAGTCTAAAACTTAGCCAACTTGACAAAAATGTGTTTCCCACATGGCTGAACCAGAATTGGTATAAAAATCGTGGTTTGGTGTAGTTTGGTTTGATGTTCTGGGTGCCACAACTTGAACCCAGGCCATTGCATATACCAGGTAAGTTCTCTGCCACTGAGCTATAGCCCACTCCCCAAGGATGAGGGTTCCACCAATAACACTTCCTGAGTATATAATATATGCTCATGAAACAACTCAAAATACCTATCCTCTCTTGCCCTCAACTTTTTCCTCCTCCCTACAACAGTGCTGGCCTAGCAGGTTCCACATCTTATATGACTTCACAACAGCCTCATGGCACCAAGTTTGGGGCAGCGTCTACTTGTGTATGATGGCTGAAGAGACCCTCTTTGCATCAAGCTTGACAGGTAAGACAAAGGCACTCTGACATCAGCGACAATGCCTCGTGCCAACTTTCCCCAGAGTGACTTGAGGACACTTATCAAAATGAACGTCATGGCGACGCGGCCCGGCGGCCATCTTGGCGTCCACTGCAGTGTGGTAAGTCTTCAGAAATGTTATCTCATCTGCACAGATGGCTCCTCCTCTGGTAGCAGCAGAGCTTTGCTTCTCCCTCCCCTCAGCTTGAGACTGTCAGGGAAGTTTCAGTGCCTTAGAGCCCATGGTGTGAAAGGGAGGCGCACAGGAGCCCCTCTCTAGAATCTTCTTTGCCGCTGAGACAGTGACAGCTTCATTCCCGAGGATCTCCCCCCCCCGCCCCCCCCCCCCCCCCGTAGTTTGCTTTTCTCCTCAGAGCCAGCGTAGAGTCATCCCAGATATCCGTCACTTGTCAGATTTAACCAATGTTTCCTCAGAGGAACCCTCCAGACTCAAGCCCCTTCTTAAGGAGCTGCAACGTAGTTACAGAATCAACAAGAAATCCCCCGCCCAGGAGCTTCTGACTGTAACAGACAGCTGACCCCTGGCTAACCATGGCCGCTAAGCTGTTGTTAATCACAGGGGCCTTCTGATCTGAGAAGACAGTGGGGGCCAGCTGAACTCACTCGGGTCTTCTGCCCAGAATCCCTGTTTGGCTAAGTTCCTTTATGGGGCTCTGAGAGCTGGCTCTGGTTCTGGTTGCCAGACTTGCTTCATTAACTAGTAAGTGTAACTTACCTAAGGCTTTTCATGCTGTGACACTAGCCCATCCTTGTCTCCTATTGTAACCAACTTTATTCTTGGTATCTGGGCACTGAAATGCAAAGGGAAATCCGAAGGCTGTATTCTACAGACATCCGCGGCTCTCCTGTTTCTATTTAATTAGATTTATCCATTTCATTTTGCCTGCATGCCTGGTGTCCAGAGAGGTCAGGAGAGTGTATCGGGTTCCCCAGAACTAGAGTTACAGATGTTTGGGAATCACCGTCTGGGGGCTGGAAATCAAACCTGGACTGCTGATCTTAATGGCCGAACCATCTCTCCACCCTGGTTGTCTCATTTCTGATACTATAGTAAAACTGGAAGTCAGTTGCCCAGTATGTCCTCAGCCCCAGCATGTGACACAGTGTCTGAGGATCAGGGACCTCTGCTCTAGGTAGTGGAAACAGGTGCTTACTGGAAAATGCATCCTAGCAAGTGCAAGCCACACCCTTTTGTCATTCACTGAACACTTGGTGGCCATTTGTTACTACCCCTGATTCCAGAGTGAAGATTCCACGTGAGCCGGATGTTGTTGGGTTTGTTTCTGTGTTCCCATCACCATGCAGGACACAAGAACATACTGAAAAATAAAAACACGTTAAGGAAAGCCTCTGGACTTTCTTCTCCGTTCTTAAATCTATCAAGCTGGATCTCACTTTGGACCTTTGCGAGTTTTCTTTGTCTGGAATGTGCCTCCCCAGATCACCTCCGTGGCTCGCTCCATCTGCCCTCCTCCCTCAAGTCCTGCCCTGAGAGGTCTTTAGCCTCACCCCTGCTTTGGCCTGGCACCTGCTCTACCTCCCTAAC